CACCAAAAGATTCCATTTCAAGAACTCAAATTGCCTTTTATTACATACTGGAAAATTTTTTCAAGAACTTGTGTATACAAGTTTGAAGAAACATTTGACAATAATGTGAAATATCAAATGAGTGTAAAGATTGGCAATCCAATGCAAGTGTACACAGAAGAGCGTATGCTTCACTTTTAGCTTGTGTGCCTGTGATCCACAAGAAGAGCTCTGTAAAGACAATCTGAACACATACTTTATTATATTAACTAGATGGCTAGCTACAAAATATATTTTTTGCATTGTGTTTAAGTGAATTTTCAGGAATGCTATTTCATCCTCTGGTGTTACAATCTTCCTTTGGATCTGCTTTGTTGGGTCTCAGATTCCATATGAGTGTCGCAAGAAAAGTGGTATATTTGAGCATTTACAAAGTGCCTTTTAGAAAAACATTTATCACTATGGCAGTGCTCCGTTTTTTGCTAATTTTAAGAATACTTTTATTTAGCTTTTTTTATTTCACAACTACAATGCAACAACAAAAATTCTATGATTGTTTTCTGTGCTAGCTTTTATCTAGTGGAAAACAAGTTCTACTCTACTTTTCTGGACACTTTCATATATATATATATAAAAAAATGTAGGTATTTGGAGCACATGCATGCTAAATGTATAAACAGATTTAAAGTATAAATCTGTACCCTTTCACCAGAACATGAGCTTCAAAAAAGAGGCAAATGAAGTAAGCAGTCGGAAGTAGACATTGTCTTTCTGGTAGTCCATGAATATTTTGTAATATTGTTTTCCAAGCTCACTGGTACAGACAGAAGCAATTCTGTTCAGTTTTTTTTGATCATCGGATACTGTCTAGATACCAACTGTGATAGTTGCTTTTGGAATGGTTAGTCACAGTAGGGTATAAGTTAAGCTTCCAGACGTATTTAATTTTGGATATTAACAAACTCATCTGCATATAACTTTTGCCACTAACAAGCTCAACTCGTGCAGAACAATGCCCTAGGTTTCAGGAATTCTTTACCTTTTTTCCAAAGCTTCAAGACCTGTAAAGAAAAAAGGGTATTAACAGAAAACTTGGAATAGCATGCCTGCCATCTCAAATAACTTGAAACCCTTTACTCCTTTATTGAAAGAGAAACTGAATCATCTGGGAGTTCAGACTTCGTGATGAGCATTGACATTTAACTCTTCTTCCTTTGTGACCAAATGACAGCATTACTGTAACTACAGTATATTAGGTTTCAGGCACATCTGTCTGAAACTGGAAATGTTACATGAAGTCTTCTAATACGAGCAAGTATCTTAGCAAAAAGATATACTCAATAGCCGCAATGCCTGCTCCAGCTAAACTTGTTCAAAAAGGAATTTAGAGTGGCAATACTGTCACTGAAAATAATAAGATAACAAACACTTAGCTCGACATATTTATTTTTCAAGCTCAATAAATAAATGTAAATACACAAATTTGGAAAAATCTTAGTAACAGAATGTTTTTAAACAACATTCTGGCTTAAAGTCTTTGTTATTGACACTACTGGAATATTTTCTGATCTGCTTAAAGTAGGTAAGTCATTATGTTGGTGATCCTCCATCACATTAATTTGTCTGAAGAAGTTAGGCTGCTGCAAAGGAAAAAAAGACGTCAACCTTTGCTTTGACATAGAAAATTATCTGAACTGCATACATTAAGTATTAAAATCACTTTTCTGGGCATGACTTTTCTAGAGAATCGAGAAATTTTTAAATTTACAGTTTGTGTATTAAAGACCTCCTACCATTAATTACTTCATTATTATAAAAGGGAAATTGTAACAAAAGTGGAAAAAACAAAAGAGAAAAAGGCATGGAACAAAAAAGTGATACAAACTGGCCCTTTAGTTGGTAAGACATTCTTCCTTTATCCATCTAATTTTCACTCTAGGTTCGTAACAGATTTATGTGATGACTGGTTCCCATTACTGCAGCAAGTCTGCTTGAAAAAATTCTAAAGCAGCTTTTTACCGGTGGATTTATGTTTAGACACCCTCTCTCTCACAGACATTCTCCAAACACCTGAAACCAGGAGTGCCATATTCCACCTGGCTGCCTTAGCTTTCTCAGGTTATTGTATACTAATGCACTTACCCAGGCTTCAAGCATGAATACATAACTTGTCTAGGAGAAGCAGCCTTTTTTGAAAGTATCTAAAAATTTCTATTTAGCAATTTGTATCAAAAAGGTTCAGCAAGAAGGTAATTGTAATTGACGTAATGGAAATGGAGGAAGATTTGTGGTTCCCTCAAAATTCAGAAAGTATTCTGTTTCTGTATTCTATAAATACTACAAGACACAACATGTTTATTTGGTTCCCATAAATTAGAAAAATCTGGTTTCCAAAAATTCTAAATTAGTGATTTTAAAAAAACAAAATATTACACCTGACCACCTTTCCAAACAATCTCAGAGAGCAGCCTAGCTTCTCTCTCACCCTTCAGAAGTGTGCTTTTTAAGGATACATGACTTATAAAACAAAAAAGTGTGTTTTTAACTACAGTACACTTGCTTAAATATACAAGTGGACATGTTACCGTCATGTTAAAGTTCAAGGTACTTCTGGAAAAAAGGCAGATAGTTAGTTACTTTAACTCTGCATTCTTACATAGAATAATGATTATTATAGACCTTAGTTTCCTCTCATCGTTCGCCTATCATATGGAGAGGTCAATAAATAAGAACTTATCTGGTCCAGTTTACCTACAAGAGAAAAAATACTAAAAGAAAAAGAAGTTATTTATAAAATTACTTGTTTAACCCTGATAACATCTGAGTTGCCATACCCAGTTTGTAATTGCAAGAAAAGCAAATAATATTCATCTTGCTTATTAATAAATGCCCCATTTTCTATGACAATTTTTTGTATGATGCCTATCAAGTCACATATTCTTGGGGCAAGAAAGCTGGCCAGGAGGTGCAGTGATAGCAGTAACACAGTATAAATCTGGGTTCAAAAAACCGAACATACCAGATCCAGAAGCAAAGAAATCTGGCCACATTGAGGAGGCAGTGCCCAGCTGTTATTTGGGCTCTTGTATCATGAAGACTATACCCAGCCTAAGATACAGTTTCACACCATGTAAGTAACACAGAATTCTGTTGTGCTAGTGTACAGACTTCAGGAAAAAGTCTTGTACAAAACAAATTACCTCCTTTGTTTAGAGTAGAAGATAAAATAGCTTACTAACTGATGTAATGACTAATGGATGTCACTGACACAAAACTTGCCATGATTTGTGTGTTCAGCTACAAGGTGCAGTATTTCTTATGACTAACTCAAAGCACAGCCGCATCCAACTGTGATTTGGAATTCCATCTTGAGCAGCACGCACTATGAAGAAAGTCTGTATGATTGTAACAAAGTCACCCATCCTCTCTTGAAACGTGAACAAAATCCATGGGGTAATCAGGCACAGGCGGCATGTAACGGGTTTGTCTTCCTTTTTACTCCTTGTTTTTGCTTCTGAGGACATGCACTTGGCTCCAGACTAAAGCCATTTTCTATTACAAGAGAACACAGCTATTCTTCTCTTTTTCTCTCTCTTTCTCTCGAGGCTCTTTACGTTTGCGTTCATTACTCCCAGATTGTCTTCCACTTGCTGGAGAAGCAGGACCTTGCACCTGCTATGTAGAAAAAATAAAATCTTGAATAAAACAAAGGTTATTGTAGATGCAGTCTGAAGTATTACTCATTTTCAAGTTCACAAACAGAAGTTTAACTATTATGCAAACAGCAGAATTCAGGTAGGGTCTCGCTGTATAAATACTCCAGAATTGCCACAAAACTTCTTATTTCTAAAAAACAAAGTAAGCTGAAAATACATGTCAAGTCCTGTGTGTCCCTTCTATTGTGTCCACGTATTCAGATCAGTCGTTTCAATAATAAAATTTGGCTTCAAGCATTTTCTGGCACTTCTGTATTGCTGTACTGTAATTTTTGCCTAGTTTCTTTCATAAGAATATAATCCACATTTCAGAAGTTGCAGAGCGAAAGTGTTGGTTTTGACAGCTAGATATAGCAAAGCAGCAGCTTTTTGTGACTAGAAACTAGTTAAGAACTTGTCAAGGGGGTCAGTATACAAAGGCAACGTAAGTTTTGTTAATTCATCATCTATTCCAGCTCTTATCCATTCATAGCTGCAAATGAGCATGCTGTTAAGTCCTGTTCAGCACGTTCTTCAGTTCTTTCTACTTTTTTGCAGCCAGCAATAGTGAATCTTTGTCTTAGAAGTGGCTACTGATGATTCTATTAAAGCAATAAGCAGTGGAAATAACACAACTTTTAATTGTCAAAATTCTTATTTCATGCTTAACAAGCACATCAGTTAATGGTTCTGAATTGCTTCAGGTCAAAGATTCAGCCTTCATACTGCTTTTATTTACGTATTTGTAAATAAAAGCAGTTTTAAAAGTCTTCAGTAGTTAAGAACTCCCTGAATCCAGAACACCAACTTAAATATTGCCTCTTGCACACAAGATTCAGTTACATTGCAATTTTGTATATACATGTGCATGAATCACATTTTCCAAGCATTTTGAATGCAACTGCTTATGGGGATGGGGAGGGGACAGAAAGGTGTACTGGGAGAAACTGTTAATTTCCTAATTTGAAACAGGACTGAATAGATTCACTGAAACACCTAAAAATGTAAAGCAACAAACTTCTGCAAGACAAAATAAAGACAAAATTTCGACTACTATCAAAAAAGCTCTTAATTGAATGCTAGTTTCGTAACGTAAAATATTAGCTAACACAATCTTTGTAACCTTACATATTAACTCATCCCATCATTCCAACTTAAATAATACGAATGAAACCCTAATTTAGAAGGTTAGGCCTGCTTCAAAGTATTTAAGTGGCAGCAACTGCCATATCTGCATGCATACTCCAACAATTAAAGCGTATTTCTTAAGATTCCTATATTCATCTTGTCACTTGCTGTATAGAACATAAGTGGCAGTCTTATCAGTCTGAACCGTTTACAAATGTAGATGTGTCTATGTAACTATTAAGTTAATACTCTCTAAAACTCATGATCATATTCCGTAATAATGCTTTCTTACCTGGACCTGAGCAGCTGCTTGTTCTTGTTCCTGATAGTACTGAGAAGCTCTCCTGTCCTCCTCCTCCTGGAGCTTCTTTGCTAGCTCTAGATCACTGATTCCTTCCGGGATCTGTTCCCAGTTAATCTCTTGATTTTGCTGCTCTTGTTGTAGAGACAATGCCATCAGATAATCCTAAACAGTAAACTTGTTTATTAATGCTCTTTCACATAGAAAAGAGCCAAGTCATATCAAGTGAATTTTTCAGCATGTGCAGCTACACAGTACCATCCCTCTTCCCCCACCCTCATCTTCAAATACATTTCCCTCATGGAAAACAGGAATTTTTTTCAGAACCTGTTCATAACCTGAACTGCAGAAAGGCTGAAAACAGCTACTTTACATTTCTCCCGTCACAGTGCCTATATCACAACATACAAAACACAAAAGCTAATTTAAAAAAAAAAAATTGCTTTCAGGTTTAAATTCCATTACCTGGACAGCAACAAAAGGAAGCCGGTGTCTACTTCTACCTAGAACTGGTATGAGCTAAGGTTTTGAAGCTGTCTCTTTGTAATTTGCTATTTCTACTTAAAATTCTGATTTATGCTTGATAGAGTATCTGTCCCCCCTCTACTGAACAGTGTTGAGAGTACATCAATAAGGAACACTAACTCCTAAACAGATGAGAAAATAATCAAAAGGTAGTTTCGGATATATCCAAACAGACAGCAACTCAAGCTATTACTAGCCCTGTTATCTCTGCCACATTCTTTATTCTACAAGAGAGATACAGTGCTTGAATTTATTAAAAAGCATCTGCTTATTCATTTTTTTCCCCAGTATTTAAAAAAAACATTAATGGTGATTATTATAAAGATAAATTTATTTTGCTTGTCCAGAATGTAAGATTTCCAAGGAGCCTGGTCTTGCAATGTGCTTATGCATTACCTGGTACAAGTCCTGTCTCAGACATGACTCGTGGAAACTATTATATATAGTTAAGAATGACAAATAACCACCACCACACACAATCTGCTATGGCTTTTGTCCTACATTCAGCAAAGTGGGCATCAGAAGACAAAATTCAGTTATGACAATATTAATGAGCTGAAATTAATTTGTTACAGGAGGAGAAGTTTCACAGTGCTGTTTCTGTTTCCATATGCAAGGCAGATGTGACATTACACCTGAATAAGTTCTCTGCAGAAGTGGATTCTGAGAGACTAAAATTGGATTTTCCAATCTATTCACGGCTGGTCTTACTCCTCCTCCCTTGAAGTCATGCTAATACTTCAAAGTAGCACTTTTGAGATCCCCAACCTAAGTATCTAAAGAATTTTTTTTTTTATAGTCCTATATATGCAGGAGTACACATACATACACATCCATGTAAGTATACATATATATGACTAAAAATAAGTAGTAATTGATATATATTGACAAGCAAACAGAAAAATACAATAGAAAGGCAGAAAGCCAGTACTTGATCTATTTGATCCTGCTGCCCTCTGTAGACAGTTTCAGGGTCTGATGGAGGCCGTAGGTGGAATTCAGAATCACAGAAATTTCCATCACCATCCACATTGTGTAAGCTTTCCCAAACAACTTTCTCTTCTGTAAGAAAGCCCTGGTCTGTCACCAGCAGGTAAAGCTGACCCTATGCAGAAGAATAAAGAAAACCTGTAAAACTAAAAAAATTTTTTACAATCTGATATAATTAGCAGAAATCATCAGCTAATACAACTGTTGCATTCCAGTAAAACATTCATTTAGATTTTTTAGCAAGTTTAAAATTTAAATGAATCAGTATACAGCATTAAAACACCAGATACTAGTATAAAACACCAGATACTAGTATTCATTAGTATTCATTACAATTACCAGCCACACTTAATTTCTGTATTCCATCTTGTAATTTTTCATTATTAATGAAAGTTTCTATTGACTAAAAATTAATATAAAAACATGAATATATACCTTGATAACTCCTTGGAAACACACCCAAGAAGTGTACCTCCAGACTGGCAATGTAAATTTTAAATCCCAGGACAAATCACATTAAATTCCAAAGGCAAGATCTGGAGACAAAGGTGATCTTTCCAAATAATCCAAGAGGCATTACCTCAAAATGACCGCATCTCAGACTTCACGTTTTATAATGGGTTTTGATAGAATTTGAGATTTATTTCAATTGAAAAAACTAAATTTAAAGATTCTTGCTATCACTTGTCACCAGTAACTGCTTTTGTTGAATTTTAGCCTTTTTACAGTTCCAGAAGGCCAAATTTCTCGATTTCAAACTCTGAAATTATAAAATGGGCTGGTCTAGGATTGAAAGAGGCAATACCAACAAGTCCAGAAGCCAAGGTACAGGAAAGATGAAATGCAAGCTTAGGTTGAAGGAATGGGAGAAGAGCTGAAGTCAAAGGGAAATTATGAAAGCGGGTCTCAAGTAAAAGGAGATGGTGCTGCATGTTTGAGCGACAGCAAAGCAGCACAAAAATCCTGTTTAAATTTCAATTTAAATTAGATTTTAATCTTATCCTACCCTTTTTATAATGTTTTTAGAACTATACTCCAAAGCAAGACTGTTATTACTGACCATACAGCACATTAAGACTGAAGCTTCCATTAATATTACTGAATGTACCCGCTCACGATATTCAGTGTAAGACTTGTTGCAGTGTTTTAGCTGTAAAAATCAAAGTAGTTTATTGTGACATCCACAAAATAGCATCCTTTGCTATTTGTATTACAGCAGCACACAAAGGGTTCTCAAAGATCACTGTGCTAAAGATTTACCAAAACACAAGAGGCAGTTCCTGTTCTACTGATTTCATAGGCTGAACAGGCAAAAAACGAAAACATCGCCCCTATTCAACAAGTACAGAACTAGCTCACTGATCTCTCTCAAGTCATTAAAAGACTGCCTGTAAGAGATGCTGAAATTAAAACCAGATCTCTTCAATCCTATTAAGTTTACAGCCATCCCTTCTGCAGATGGTAGGTCATACAGCGTAACAAAAACATTATTTGAAGATTCACACGCAGCAATTGTTCTAGTATTACCTAATACCACAAGATGCACTTAGACAAAAGGCCAAACAGAACAGATAAAAATCCCACAAAAGACACTACTACATGTTCAAGCTTTGGAATAGCACTTATCCCAGCACAGGTGGGCTTACAGACATAAATACAATTGTCAGCAACAAGTCTGATCACATTAACATGATCTAAGGAATCATCTTTCCCTCGGAAACCTGCGTAAAAACTGAATGCTACACTTCTGATGCTTAAAAATCACCCAAAGAAAATAAAAGGAAATAATTTCACAACATTTCCAATTTGCACAGAATATGTATTTCACAGCATCTTCTTATACAAGAATTCTTTCAAAAAATGTAAAAAAAAAAAATCACAGAATCTTTAAGGTAAGTGTATTTCAACCTTTTAAATTTTATTCTGATCAGTACATTGACTCAAACATACCTAAAAATAAAAAAGGGGGGGTGTCAAGTTTTCCTCTATTATGCTATACGTTTTGAATTACTTTTTAAACAGCTCAAACGGTGTAGCTTAATAATAATACTGAAATAGGAAAATGTTAATGCTTTCATAATCTCCGAACTATTGCAAGCTGAACTTTTCACACACAAATATTAAAGTATATCATTACCTTTATGGGATTAGATTCTAGTATTTGTCATTCAAAAATATTTTAAAGCTAACACTTGTTTGAAATAGAGAATTGTTTCAATCTTAAATAAAATTCATATTCTTACTTTCTGTTTTTAAGACTTCCTCAGTTGAACTATACCTAACACTGATTTTAAAAATGTCATCTTAGAGTAAATAAAAAAAACATTTTAGTACAGCTCCCTGATGAAAGGCAATAAACTGCCTTACATATCACCACATTACCTAAACAATACTATTCCAATAGCAATTGCATAGTTTAGAAACATGCTGCTTCACTTTAACAAAACCTAGCAAACCAACAAACATAGGCTCCCTAGTACTTGTGAAGAGACAGAGTTCCTTTTCACTTTATTGGTATGAAAGAACAATGGGAAAGCACAGATCAGAGATCCAAAGTCATCTTTCCCCTTTTTGTTTTTAATCAAGTTATCTGATCTCTACTTTGTATTAGTGTAATTTAATGGAACTTCTAAAAAACCCAAACTGATTCCCAAGGACCCTCATAACATTGCTAATATTCATGTAACTTTTGGTAATAATTGGATAACTTTCAGTTTCATATACAAAATAAGAGGAGTCAGCTCTTTTTGTATTAGATGTAATGTAGCTACTAATCTCTACAGAGTATCAGTCTTCCTAGAACTTCAGTGATTTTGTTCCTTCTACTTGCAACAAGCAAATAGAGGCCATATCTACAGACTGGTTTTATAGGCACTGTTTTAATGCCATGCATGTTCTCTTCCCAGTCTTAGGCCAACTTCACTTGCACAGCCAAATTCCACTGAGGGGATTTCATGATATGAGATAATCTTTTTATCATATGACCTTCACGCTGCCTCTAAATTTGAGCTGCACTAAATAACGACATGCCTGGTGTCAGGAACCAGCCACCAGTCTCCAGCACTTACCAGATCATGAGATCAGTCTAGCTGCTAAGCGATAGTGATATGGCAACCAATATAACACTGGGATTTCTGACTCCTGACAGTAGTTTTACACCACATTTGTAGCCTACCAAATAAAGTTTCTGCACTTCAGCTCCACTCAGTGCAACACACAAGGGAGGTCAGTGACAGAATCAGTAATAATGACTAAGTGTAGAAATATTTATTTACACTGAACTAAAAAATAAGGAAGGAGCCTTTTTTTTTTTTAAAAAACAGGTAAAAACCAGAATGTGTTTTCTACTTAACAGATCATGGTCCTGATTCTGCATTTGCTTTCTAGTCAGGGTTAAAGCTAAAACAGGATGATCAGCACACTAAGGCCATGCAATTCAGCTAACAAATGTACATAAATACATTTATGTACAATGCTTTTCAAGTACACGTTGCCAAGAACAATATCATACTTTACAAAATAAACATGTTTCTACTGTCATAAAATCTGAACTGGCCATTTCTAAAGTATTACCAGTTTATCTTTTAGGTTTATTTTTAAATATGGGGTTTTTTTAATAACTACACAGTCTCATGGGTTGACACTGCCCCCAAAAATGCTAGCACATAATATACAGCAGTAACATCTACTAATAACTGTTGTCAACAGAGAATAAAACAATAAAAGAAAGTCTCAAGTGCATAAATGTAAAGGTAAACTGTGCCTACAATAAAGTTATTAACAATTATTTATCCTAAAAATTAATATCTAGATATTGTAGACCAATGCCCACATTTTATAGCTTCACACATAAAAAGCTTGAAATAAAGCTAAGGATAAAAGCAAGATTGTTCTCCTGAAGAATGAGCTCAGTCTTCCAGTTTGCACAAAAAAAACCCTCTCTGAAATGCAAACAGATGTAGGCTGCAGGTGATGTTACTGGTTACAAGACCTCCTTTCCTGGGTTAATTTAATGACCAGATTAAGTAATTAAAATTAATGCTTTTAAACTATTTGTTCTGATGCCAGTTACCAAGTTTCCAGCAGTTTAGAAAACTGAAATGGAAAACCAAACACCCGTCCAATATCTTCATACAGTAAAGACAAACGTTTTAAGCCTTATCCTTTAAAGTCTATGTAAATGTTCTCTTGGACTTCTGGATCAGACCCCTCAGTTTTCATGAAGGTGTTTTATGTTGAAGTGAATGAGTGCTATTATTTTGAGATTAGTCTAATCTATCTGAATGTTTTAACTGTTAGAGAAAGTTAACTTTTTTTTTTAAAGTGTAGACAATTTGATTCAACAGAGTAACCCTCAGAATAAAAACTGTACGTTTACTAAGAAATGGAAAAAAATTAAACATGGTTTTAAGAAGTTATACACATTGCCTCTACTATGCCACACTTGGACATCATCTTAAACGCCCAAGGAAAAAGTGCAATTATTGCTATGAAATATATTTTGTGTTTGAGTAAAACTCTGTGTTGAGTTCTGAAACCAAAACCCAACATTTATAAACTAGAAAACATAATTGCAACACACATACTTAAAAATCCAAACAGGTAAGTGCCTTGTTACTTTTCAGTAAAGAAAATAGTTTGTATTACAGTCACGTCAGTGGGAAAAACATTCCAACTGAACTAAGATATTCTTACCAAACTGATCCCCTCTTTACAGTCGTGTTTTTCCTTGATCTAGGGAATTATCATTTGATGTATTTATTATCTGTGTAATGAAAAGCAAAGGCAAAAAAAAAAAATCACATCTTTAACTGCTGAAAATGATTACTGTATAGTCACATGCGCCAAGACTATTAATATGCAATTAAAGGGATAGGAAGTAGAATAAATGAATACTCGGGCAAATGGACAAGTAACAGTGAAAGAGATTAAGAATCTGGTAACTGAACTGCCGTTATTGACTGACACTCACCATACTTCGACAGATGACTAATATATTACAGAATTGCCGTATTTGCTTTTGTTTCATATGCAATAATGAAATTTTTAAAAATGTTACATAATTTTTCTATAAACATAAACATGATCCTAATACTGAATTTTTTTTCAAATCAG